TATAAAGAGGTGTTGCTCTAGACTCCGGGATAAACCAATCACTGAATTTTGTCATGTATCCATCAGCTCCAGATGCTCCCATGGTGGGGCACACAGCTCTAGGAATATATAACGGGTTCTCCATGGCAATAGACTCTGGGTGTAGCGTGTGCTTCCACATTACTCTAAATTTGTTGTCAGCTATTTTTAAGGCCTCCTTACGCTTGGGTTCACTATTATGCAACCTTTGACGCTCACGCATTGCTTGCCTTTGATCAGGCGTTATATTTTTATAGCGCTCCCTATCGTATAATTTTTTGACTCATTTCTCTTAGGGTGGTTCATGGTGTTAGCAGAATCAGATGCAGCTACATAATAACATATTAGCATTATATTAGGAAATATAGACAGCGACATCTTACTTATATTTACAAAACATCTATTATAATGCAACAACACCATAATCATGGAGGAACTTTATAGAAAAATAGTACCTAGGTTCTCTTTATCAATCTGCATGGGTTGATAGGAATCGTTCCTATGCAACCAATTACTGTTTTCATCGTTATTTGTGTCTTCATTGTCTAATACAACTCCATTAGCTACAAGATAATTATTACACCATAAATAAGAGCCAAAGGATAATGCACATTGATTGGATTAAATTTGATTGTTGTGTCATCTCTCGATCCACCAGTGAGGGTAGTTTCTTGTTTTTTTATTTGGTATTTTTCATGACATTTCCTATTTATTTCATTCCTTTGTTCCGCATACCGTGCTCTTTCCCTTTCTCGTTTGCATTGCTTAGCATCATCAAGCTTGTGTCTGTGAATTGGATACACTCTCACAACCTGGTCCATTATAGGTATCATGGATCAATACATAATGAATGCAAATTATTGTTGGTCCAAAGTAAATTCATATCCGTATGTATATCAGCAGTTACCTGAATTGGTGGTGTTTGTCAAGTTTCCTAATGGAGTACGACCATCGTTATTTTCCACTGGATCCATGTAGAAGATATTGGCTAAAAAAGTTTATAAAGAAGATATAGGTTAGCCTAAATAAGTTCACATAAACCTGTAGCAGCACATAAGCTGAACAAGGAAAGATACAAAAAAAACATGTGCTGGGCACATCAATATTGTTGTAATACTGCTCCAATCTTCAAAGATAAGTGAGACCATAGAATATCTGTTCTTTTATTTTACATAAAGAAAAATGAGTAGGTATCATGTTTTTTGTTCTTGTATAAAGAGTACCTTATGGGAAGGACACAACTCGTTGCTGGTTAACTCCTCAGAAAATCAGGAGGGATTGATTTACCTAGTCCAATTAATAAATTTATCTAAGATGAAAGAGGTGATAATATCATGCTTCCTTCTATCTAAAAGATATTCTGAGAATAGCTTCAGGTAAGAAGAAATTGTATGTTTCTTGTGTCCTAGTTTTCCTATCGGTGTGCATGATTTATCTTTGAAAATACAGGAATACATAGAACGAACTAACATATAGGAAATAAAGTTCCCTCGTCATGACCTGACATTATCAAATACATGTTGATCCATCAGTTTAAGGGGTTACTAAAGCGCTATCAAATATATGATAGCATGTGAATTTAGTTTCAGCCTTCGAGAATATAGGTTAGCAAGCACGATTCAGAGTTCACGTTCTGCTCTTACTAACATGAGTTTAGATATCATAGCAGCTTCGAAGTTCAGGTTGTCGAATCCAATAAACAATGCAGAGTTCATGTCTGCTCTTACTAACATGGGTTAAGAGATCATAGCAGCTTATGATTGTTTTTAGCAAAACTGAACAAACAGCTACAAGATGGCGTTAATGTATGCTTTGTATAATAACTGACAAAGTTATCTAATCTGGATATCCTGTTGTGGTCAGAGTTCTCGACTCTGTCCCATTGGTATATAGCTAGCTTATCTTGGTATTTCCATTTAATTGTGTCTGGCCAAAGACGCTATTCATATTGTCATTGGCTTATTTTATTATTGTTTATTTTTTGTTCCCCTTCCATGGTGTGTGGTGTGTAGCTCCTACTATACACCATGGGTTACTATAATCCTACATAACGCACATTTGGGAAAAAATATAAGCACATTGGGGAAAGATATAATCTCTCTAGATCTTTGGTTATGTCTACAACCATATTTCAGGTGTGTACCTCACTAAATTTCACATAGTTCAATATTGATGCTTAACTGAAGTACAAATCATTGTTAACCAAAAAATATTCCAGGATCTGCACATGTATTTGGCCTCAAGCATTGATCACCCAATGTGATTCTTATTAAGCTAATAATACCTTTTTTGCTAATTGCTTCCGATGACACTGGTCTGCATACACTGGATAGGTGAAGGTCTGATATGAAGGATACTGATCTGCACTGCAAACAATTAGAGCAGTGAATTTTAGGACTATCTTTATTATGCTTGACAGATGTATCTATCATAGCTCAGATATAAGGATTAGGAGTAAGCTGTCATTGTGCCCAAAATTGGGCCATTTAACTTAATGGCAATTCACAAGCATGTAAGCTGTTATTATGCCCAAAATTTTATACACAACAACAGCCAGTTGTCCTCACGTCTAGAGGAGCATACCATATGTAGTGGCTTTTCAGACAATGGCAAAATCAAGTTTGGCTCAAGGAGTATTAGAGAACTAGCTCCAGGATATGTCATCGCAAGCTAAAATGAAGTCTGAGTAAATACTACTCCAATCTTTAAAGATAAGTGAAACCATAGAATATCTGTCCTTTTATTTTGTATAATTTTGCATAAAGAAAAATCAGTAGGTATCATATTTTTTGTTCTTGCATAAAGAGTACCTTATGGGAAGGACACAACTCGCTGCTGGTTAACTCCTAAGATGCAATAAATGCAAGGCAATTATAATCAAGTTTGACATTTTTTTACCCAGAGTCTTTACTGAATTTTTTCAAAGGTCAAAATACATGTCACCAGCAATTGCTACTAATACTATGAGCATACTAATTAGGATGAATAACTGCATAACAGAAGAGCCCATATTGATTCTTACATTCACTAAATGCACGTTGTAATTGCTCACAACCTATATTGATGCAGAGCAGGATGGCATGCCTATTTCATTAGCAGAGAAATTCTAAAACTGTAAGAAGCCACGCTATATAATCATGTAAAGCTCTATGGATAGGAAATCATGCTCCTGCTGCCCTGGACATCACATGCATGAACTAAAGAAATACCAAAGTAAAACAAAAAAAAAACAAATTTGCTATCATCAATGGAAGCTTCGGCCAGGACAGTTTACTCTCCTGTGGAAACAAAGATACAAAACTGTTCTATAACCACATGAACATGCTACCTTCCAGAAACTGGTCATGCAAACTGCTCTCCGTGCAAGATTCTAGAAGGCAATTTGCTACACCAGTCTGCAGTGAGTTTTCCTCGTAGCATAAAATCTGTAGACAAATATATCAATAGTAGCATAAAATCTGTAGACAAATATATCAATAGGAAAATATTTTATAAAGCATTTCAAACATCTGGATAACGATAACATTCTGATTTCTATCTGTAACTCGGAAGCCTGAACATAGAAACACATACCATTGGTCAACAGCTAAAAAAGTGCAAAGATAACCTCTGAAGCCTGAACATAGCAAAAAAATTTCGTATGGGCAGCGCACGCATGCACTACGACGACATAGATCGAGTAGCGCAGTGTTTGCGTGCATTATTTCATTGTCTAACATTTCTGCACCTCTGAATGTCAACTACTTTAAAACTCTGAACCTCTGAGTGTTGTACAATCTAGAGTGAGGTCTTGAACACGGAGGCTACCTGGGCAACTGCGTGACCTGACGAGAACTTGCTAACAGGAAGAGAATGGAGGGGAGCACCAGAGGGGCGCTACTCACTAGGCGCTGGGGCCGCGGCGGTCCGGGACGTCCGTCTCCGAGGATGGGGCGGTCGAGCTGGGAGCCTGGGAGCGGGTGCACCGGTGCTGGGACCTCGCCTCTCCCTCGGCAGCGGGTTGCGACAGCCTCTCACCAGCGGCCGTGAAGAGGAGGGCATGTGCCGGGCGAGGATGAGATCCTCGTCGTCTCTCCCTCGGCGGCGGCAGGCGCGGTCCTTCTCCTTCTCGGCTTGGCGGTGGCGCGAGCGTGTGCGATGGGCAACGGCGAGGGTGGCACATGTTGGGACTGCGACTTGCGAGTGGAGAATGACCCTTCATTTTTATCGGTCACTGATTGGGGAAGGGGAGCGACCGGGAGACACGGGACCGAGAGATCGCAGATTTTGGCGAGGGAGAGATCGCGCTAATTGGGGGAGAGAAGCCGGGAGGCGTGGAACGAGGAGATCGCGGTGGTTGCTAGGCAGACACCGAACGGGGGTGATTCGATCGCACGCCGGGAGAGGTTAGCTAGCGAGCGATTGATCGCACGCCTGTGAACGATTGGGTTACGCGGTGGGTTTGTTTCGTCTGCCGGTGAACGATTGGTCTGTAAATTTTTTAGTTGTAGAGACTAAATCACACATATTAGTTAGCTCCTTAATGGATCTTTGGAAACCCGTTAACTGTTGCAGCGCCCTTCTCACCAGCATTACATGTATGTGGAAGTAACTGCTTCCGGAAGTACATAAAATGCACCACACACACACACATATATATATATAACTATAGCTAATGAATAATAATCCGTACCCGAGCCCAACCCTTCAGCCGGTCCGACTACTGACTCGATACGCCAACACTCCTCGCTGGACCGGTCAAACCTCGGCGTTTTTTCTCTCCCGTACCCACCGATCCACTTCTCCGCTCCTCTTTTTTTTCATTCATTTCATTAAAAATCAAGGTGGGTCGTGGGAGTCTGCACGGTTTCTTCCGCCAATGCCGCCCTAGCTCTGCTCGCCGCCGCCGTCCCGGGAACGAGATCCCCTCTCGGTCTCCCTCTCCCCGCTTCCGGCACCGCCTCTCCTTAATCCGCCGCGTTTGTAGCTCCTCCGAGGGGAGGATGAAGGGGATCGAGAACCTCATTCGAACCTTATCCATGTCCTCCAAGATGAACTCGTCGTCGTGGTCCCGGCGTCCGCGTGCTGGGTCACGACGTCCCTCCCATGTCCTACTCAACGTCGACGCCGTCGTTGGCATCCACCGGAACCGCACCACCGCCACAACCTTCAACAGCAACGGGGTGCTCATCGAGGTATCCTTTCTGCTGAAACGCCCACCGCAGCCCTCCATTTTGTACGTGGCCTCCGACGATCTGAATCCGTTCGTGGGCCCGGTCATCCTCTGCTCGGTGGACCGCCTCCTCCTTCTCCGCGTCAACGTGGGGCGCAAAGACGGCCACCTCTCTCTCAAGCACTACCACGACTACTACGTCTACCGCGCCTCCGCCTACCCGACGCTTGATCTGCTGGAGAGCCCCCCACCCCCGTCTTCCACAGGGATGACGTCGGCCTCCTCCCTCATCCGGACGGCCGTTACACCGTCGCGTCGCTGATGGATATAGGCCGCGACGACGTGTACGAGCTCCAGCTGTACCACTCCGACACCGAAACCTGGACCAGCCGCCAGGTGTCTGTGGAGCCGCCACAGTGGGATCCGTTACCCAAGAGGATTCCCAAGTACTGCGGCGCGCTCCTACGCCATTATACATCCGCCGTGGTCACCATCGGAGGCGAGGGTGGCACCATGGCCTGGGTCGATCTCTGGCGAAGCATCTTGCTCTGCGACGTGCTCCGCCCCGACCCGTCCCTCCGCGGAGTGCCCATCCCGCTGCCGTTGACGCAGATGAGCCTCAACGACGGGTTGGGAGTGAAGCTAGACTTCGCAGGGCATAGCCGTGGCATCTCCTTCAACAGAGACAAGGGGTGCCTCACGCTTGTGCACCTGGAACGGAACGAGTCCCCTCCTCCTTTTCATGCTGCTACCAGGGGTCTTGGTGGGCAGGATGTACAGGTTCTTGATTGGGAGGTCACCACGTGGAGCAACAGCAAGATGAGCGACTCCCTGGAGGATTGGCACAAGGAACGCAGTGTCCAAGCTTCCAACATCACCATTGACGACCCGGCAGCGGTTTCACGGATGCTGGAGGACTTTAGGTTGCTGCGTAGACCACCACCACGACAAGAACACATCGATGATGAGGCCGCCGCCGCCACCGCCGCAGCACAAGCACAACAACAGCTAGAATTGCACAACCTCAGCATGTGTCAGCCAGTGCTCTGTCCCAATGGTAAAGACGACGTGGTTTACTTGGTGGCCAGGGAGAAGTATCTGCACCCCAAAGCATGGTGTCTTGCTGTTGACATGAAGAATCAAGGTACACTGAAACATGTGGCAAACATTGGCAATCAAGATCATCCCTTTTGTCATCGCATCTACTGTCTTAGTAGACTCTCCAAGTATACCAATCCCAAGATGAGGTTAATAAAAAGTTCAGCTACTGACCCGGGTAACTAATTGGCTTCTTGTATCATATATTATCTGCAAATTAAATTGATGCCTACTCTTGTGATCTTTTTATATACTCATGATTCTTAGCTTTTTTTTATCCACTAGCTAGCCAACACTATCCTGACATGTGCTTGCTATATAAATGCTTTTGCAATCTGCTTGTTCTTCTATTTATTAGTGCATTTGATTTGGCTTCTTGTGTTTTGTGCATGCTTGCACTGCATGCCTGCGTTGAGTAAATTTTCCTAGAACTGCCTATGCCCGGAATCGGACATACTATCATTTTATTATCTGCACTGTTCTGTTAGTAATATCACAAATGCTTGAACTATTAGATGTTAGAAATATAGCAGTGGATGTACACTAATAATTTATTTTACACTTTCAGTTAGTAATGTTGCAAATTGTTGAACAACTAGATATTCGTAGTGGACAGGTGGGCATGGGCATGTGTGTATCAGCGGAAAAGGCGGGCCCCAGCCATAGGTCCATATATGTGTGTCCAAATAGTTGTTTCCCTTGTACCCACTGATTTCAGTTGTCAATTATGAGGAAGTGACATATAGCAAGATAAGAACAAATGTGAGGGTGCTATTCTAACGAACTATTAGGAGGGCTGCTGTGTCTTAATTGAATTGATGTTCCAAGCAAGTAGAAATTATTTTGGTTATATACTGCTGACTCCAGAAGGGGTCAAGCCCCTAAGGGATTATGTTTTCCTTACTAAAACCTGCAGTACGTGAGATTATGTTTCCCAGTTGAATTTAATTATTTATGTGTGTATGTACAGTGGTAAGGGCACCATGTTAAAAACTTCCTCCATTCCAAATTATAAGATATTTTGTCTTTTCTAGGTACATAGTTTTTTTATGCACTTAGAAATATACTATGTCTAGATACATAATGAAAGCAATGTATCTAGAAAAACCAAAATGTCAGGGTTAAAAGAAGAGAAATCATTAGTTATTCATTAAGGTTAATTTGATTCAATGACCATGTTCGGTGAGGATATATAGCACCATGTTAAACAAAAATGCGTTCATTTGCCTCAAACTTTAGAGGGGCTCATTTAAGACTTAATCGAATGATTACTCAACAAGTAAGAAGAGCTTTTGTTTCTTCTCATCGAGATAGAGGCAGGCAAAAGAGGGATTTTCGTCGTTTGTGGTTTGGAAATAAGGGAGTATGGCACAATGGAAATGCAACTATTTTTTCCGAACGGATTCCTTACGTCTCAATCAAACTAGGGTACTTCACCAAGTATTTATGCTATTTTGTTGTATTGCTATAACAGTTTCTGTGGACGAAGAAGAATCCAACTATCAAGCTGGTGCTGTGGAGTGATGCCTGTTGTGCTGCAATCAGAGGTGGATCTTAGTGAGGCCGATGCTCTGCCACTTCTTGCCATGGGCGATTTAATAATCTTTTTGTGATGTTTTATAGTGATTCCATCATGTCACTGTGAAATGTATTTTGAGTTTCAAGGCTAGAGGACCTATGCTTGTGGATTTGAAGTTGTTTTCTAAGTATATGTCGAACCAACTTGCATGGTAATGAAGTCAACATTAATGAATCGGTTAAGCTTTGGAACATCATTTTGGTTGCTACACCAATACATCTTTATGCTGTTATTTGGACAACGTATGACAGACGTTGTATATAGTTTGTCCTACTAAAGCATTTAGTTCCATCATAATCCATTTTAAGTCATGTCACATGTTGCCCGTTAATCGTCAGTGAGAAAACTGCTTTTGGCACTACAAGCAAGCGCATCTACAAGTCTCACGCACTGTGACTTAATACAAGTCATGCCCAGCAATTAGCCTAATTATCGCCCTGTTCGCTTGGCTTATAATCCATACTTTTTTAGCGAACGAATATTATTTTTTTCTCACAATAAATCAACTAACGGTACTTTCAACCATGATTTATCAGCCGGGTGAACGGGACGTGATTGTGTTGCTCCGGCATGCATGTCAGCTGTGATTGCTTGCTGGCTCAGGATGGCAACAGGGCAGGTCAAGGTCAGGTGAAGCACCTAAACCCCGAGAATGAAACCCGCACCCGTCCTGAACTCTATTTTTGGGAAGATCTGTCTCTGCCGGTCTGCCCCCGAAGCCTTACAACATAACGATAATCTCTATCTCTATCTACGACTAAAAAGACCCGGAGGTTATCTTCTGATTAGTCATAATCGCTTCACCCCCTCCGTAATCACCCCACGCTAAACGCCCCGCCCCGCTCCCTCTATCGCGTCTCCACGGCGGAACCGCCGTCGCGCACGACGCCCAGCCCGGAGCCCACGGCCTTCTATCGCCCTCCTCCCCTTCCGCCCGGGCACCGCGCAACCGCTGCTCAGATCGGCGTGCCGCGCTTCGCTCGATCCGTGCGCGCACCACGGAAGGCCCCCCGCCCTTGCCCCGCGACATGGAGGGGCTCTCGATCTCCCCGCGCGATCTCCTCCCCAATCCCACGAGCCGCCGCTCCCCATCCCTGCACCCCCGCCGCGCTGCCGTCCCCGTCGCTCCTTGGGGGGCGTCCTCTCCGACCTCGCCGAGGTCGGCGACTCCCTATGCGGTGGCTTCCCGTGCCCCCGCCCCCCCCCAGCGCTGGACAACATCGTGCTGCCCATCGTGGACCACTCTCCCGCGCCGCGATCTGGAAACCATCGCCACAGAAACAACCAATCGCAGTGGCCAGTCAACGATAGCCACCGCCATCGATCTACGCCGTGTCTCCCTGATTGGGTAAGCCTCCGAGTCTCCAATCTCTAACCTATCCTTTAACCTCAATTCTCGATCTGTGTTGGGCTCCAGTATAGTTCATTGTTTGCCTCACGTCTCACAGAGTTTAGTTAGCTGCTTGACTTTTGTTGCATTCTCCGCGGAACTACCACCTCCAGCTCCACCTCGCGCTTCGTCTCTGCTTCTAGGAGTCCGCCGCCACCGGCCGCCTCCAGCACATTGCATCCCCTCAGTCCGTCTACCACGGCTTCTGGCTCTGCACATTTCCCCATCTTACAGTTACCATCGATGCCTGAAATGTTATCTGTCCTGGTGATATTATGAGTCTTTTCTGATCTGTTTTAAACTTTGGATCTCTGAATATTGGTTGATCTAAGGTTCTGTTAGATGCCACCATCAGTGTTAAATATTAGGAAGTTATAAAGTTCATCTTAGTTGACTGATTATTGTAGTATAAAATAGACTCAACTCTTGTTCGATGTTTGTCTCAGGATTTTGCTCAGGAGCCAATATGTGTGATGGTTTAATATATAGATTTACTACTGCTCCTTCTATTCTCTGAGGATATCGCTGTTGCTTGAAAATCAAGGCAGGGTACTTGCCTTCAACTTGATGAAGATCACCTACCCCTCCAGTAAAGCGAATTCTTAGAAAAGTGCCTCCAGCACTGCTTGGTGAGGCTCACATTCCCTTTGTATTTCTTAAACAGAAAATTGAGCATCTACAAAAAAACTAGAATGTCAAGTACATGTGGAGTCCATAGATCTTAATATCTGAAAGGAATTGGAGCAATGTTTACTTTGTTAAATTTGATTGGCAGGTGATACACATTAGAATTACCAAATTGTTCCTGCTTTGTTCCATATTGATGGGTAAAACGATAACTTCTGAATTTTGGTGTTTTGTTCAAGTTCAATGATTATTTATCCCTGATGCTCATTCCTACTATGTTATGTGAAAAATATTACTGCTTCTAATTGCATTGCATAAGTGTTGCTGGGTTACGTTCTGTGAGATATATTTCTACTTAGTTAAACATGTAAAGCTTCCTGGACACAAAATTTAGAACTCCACTTCTCTTTTTCCAATATTATTGATCCCTGATGGTTACCCACCAAAAGTCCAAAACAGTTAGGTGGTAAATTCTGCTTCACCTGTATGCATTGCGTAAGTGTTGAGTGAATTCACCATTCCACTAAAAAAAAATAGGTCGACCCTGTATTTTTAGAGATGATTTTCAGGGAGTGCCATTGCATCTAGCCGTTGCTAACGCACACAGGGAGCACCATCCTCCAGACTTTGGTATGCATGCTTTGACCACTTGAATTATTTCTCAATATACATGAGTTTAACGCTATTGCTGACCTTACGCTTTCCTGTACTATGCTGTACACAAAATGCTGTTTTTGCTCGCTGCTGCAATGTGAGTACATATCCTATGCACATCAAAATAGCGAAATGCCTAAGCTTTTGTTCTGTCCGAGATCTAGCCGAAGGAGAAAGTTAGAAACACTCGTATAACAGTATAAATCAGTAACATTGAAATGCAATTTAGACTAATCATAAAAATCACTCTTTCTCTAGGCAACTTATTATGAATGGTCTGTGCTGCAAAGGTTAATTTTGTTTTCCTTGACAAATAAAGTGTGTTGATTTCCAAACAACGGAATCATGTTCTGAAGTGGAGGGAGGTCTTGATAGTTTCACTTCACACAATTTAGGATTTGCTTCGGGATAAAGTAGAGACATTTTGGGGGATAAGGATAAAGCAGGTATTCTTGTTCTTGTGCTAATAGCTTTGGGACATTGTCAGCTGCTACTGCTGCTTTCTGATCAAAATGTTGTTTGACAGTCATTTTTGGAGCTCTTTTTATTTTTTATTTCATTAGCTTGATTTGTATTCTAACCAGCTTGGTGAATTGTGATGATTTAATGTTATTGGAAACAGATTTTTTTTATGACCTTAGAGCAATCTGGTTGGTCTTTGCATGAATAAGGTTAGTATACAAGGTCTTTTTAGCTGTAAATTATTAATATTAGATGTTCATCTGTACCCCTTGGCGAAGGCCAATAAAATGATGTTCATATGTACCCCTTGGCGAAGGCCAAAGGTCTTTTCAGCTGTAATTTTTTTTGTCTAATAAAAGATCGTCTCTATGTGCATGTTGGCACCTTGACAGGGCGTACATACAAACAAAGTACGGCAATTAGATAGATAGTTGAGCTTGGCGATTTGTTTCCTAATATCTATGGCTTGTATTC